ATTACTTCTTAATGTAGAAATGTCTGATTTCATTCTATGAGCTTAAATACACACTGCACCTAAGTTCACAGTTACATCATTTAAATGAATCATAGTTTAGCTTCAGTTAAACTACAGTGGCCATGCAGTGAGCTAGATGGCATTAGACAGATGCTCGAAAGAACATCCACATAATTTACCTAATTTTGCTATGCTCATTTGTGTAGTTATTAGAAAAAGTAAATGAAACTTGAATTAGAAAAGACTTTTTTTCTCTAACTTTTGGGCATCTGTGATGTTGGGAGTATAAGATTGATATTATTGACCAAAAACTGGGTTTTGGAGCTATACTCACCGGCAGATTCCGCTTTCACATGCCACCCCTCTTGTCCTACCTGGAAGACTGAAGGTTGGGCTATTAACTTATATTCCCTGCAGTTCCCAGCCCCGAGTAGCCAGAGTTTGAGCTTATCCATCGGGAACTGGAGAGTGGGCCTCTATGGCACTCCTGGCTTGAAAAGAGTTAATGGTCCTGGATTTCCTCTCCCTCATTTCGAGCTCTCTTCTGGACAAGACCAGCTCATGTTCACCCACTCTTCCTCCCACCAGAGAAAGCAGAAGAAAATCATAATATTGGATTTCAAAATATTCGCTGTTTGTGTGTCGGGTGTGGTGGCCCACAGCTGTGGTCCAAAAAGTGGGGAAGAGGAGGCAGGAAGATATTGTCAGTTTTAGGCTGGCCTGGGGTACAGAGTGACACTGTACCTTCACGTGCGCGCGCGCGCACACACACACACACACACACACACACACACAGACACACACACACAGACATGCACAGACACATACACACACAGACACACACACAGACACACACACAGACACACAGACACAGACACACAGACACACACACACACACACACACACACACACACACACACACGGGTTTTGATTCACTACTGTATGTGTTCTTTGCTTCAGACGCTTGTCATACTTTATCACATTGTGTTTTTTCCCTATTCACATTCTCGTTTCGAGACTCTTCCTCCTCAGAACCATGAACAATGTCACTTCTGATCCCTGTGAAAACCAGAAGAGAGGGTACTTGATGAGTCAGCAAACGAAAAATGAAAATCACTGAGACTGATTGCACCATCTTATAACCCCAGCTATCAGGGATGCTGAGACAGGAGGATTGTAATTTTAAGTCTTTCCTGGGCTACAGAGTGACGTTAAGGCTAGCCTGGGGAATTCTGTGAGTTCCTGTCTCAAAATAAGAAGTAAAAATTGGGCTGGGTAACGTAACTCTGGAAGCGTGCTTACCTAGCATTCACAAGGTCCAGGTTCAGCACCTCCTACCTTGAGACAAAAAGAAAGTCTACTTCTTTTCCTGTACAATATCATTAACACGTTTTATGGTGACAGTCGGGGATTCTTTGGTTTTATCTTAAAGGAGGGGTCACCATCGAGTGACTGCTTTTCTGTGTTCACTTCTTATACACTCTTCTCCGTGACCATCAGGACGCAAAACCTGGGCCTGTATTTTCTAAAGGCAGAAAAAACCAACTGAAATATCCAAGCCGACTTCCCTTCCTCTGTGATCTGAGCAGGTGGTTCAGCCTCAGTGGATGGCAAACAGTCAGACCAGCACATTTATTCAGTGCCAGACAGTGGCAACTCGGCAGGGTTAAACGAGAGGTATGAGTCTGCCTTCGGGCTGTTTTATACATGAGACCAGAAATGGAACCTAAACCAGCAGGGAGAGAAATGCTGTTTACTTTGTCACAGACACCAAGTGGAACACTGCCTTGAATGCTCTGTCAAGGTTAGCTATTCCTGTAACCAAAGGCATTCTTAACAAAGCGACACACTTCTGTCTGTGGGTGGATTTCCACAGATTTTTAGAAATAGAGTGGACTGAGGAGGAGGGGAGAGCTAGGGGCAGAATATTTGTTAGGTGTGTGCAAGGCCCCAAGTTCAATCCTCAGCACTTCAAAAATTCATCAAATATCCAATCACGTATGAAATGCACATTAGACATATGGGCTGAATGTTCTCTTCACGTCACTTTCAGGACCCCTCAAACAGCCAGTGAAAAACATCGGTGCCCTTGACTCTGCTCTCAAAGATTCTGAGCCAACATATCTGGGGTGGGGCTATGCAGCTGTATTTCATAATGTACCCCATAAAATTATTGATTCAGGTAAAGTTAAGATTCATACAAGGTCCTGGATTGCTTATTCCCTAAAAAAAGCCAATGTTTTCTTTGTGTTTGGTGTTATGTGTCTCAAGTACTCCTAACTTTGGATACAGCAGGGACAGGGTAAGGAACAAGATGGGAGCCAGGCGGTGGTGGCGCATGCCTTTAATCCAGCACTTGGGAGGCAGAGGCAGGTGGATCTTTGTGAGTTCAAGGCCAGCCTGGGCTACAGAGTGAGTTCCAGGAAAGGTGCAAAGCTACTCAGGGAAACCTTGTCTCGAAAAACCAAAAAAAAAAAAAAAAAAAAAAAAAAAGGAACAAGATGGGTTCACCAAGGAAGTGATGCACACATATTTCAGAACTGGAAGTTGGTAGAGCTAGCTAAACATTCTTGAACAAGTGCCACATGGTTGGGGCTTGTCAGGGCTTTCTGAGTAGCCCTCACAAGCAGCTGATAAGTACCTTACCAATATGAACCAGAGATACAACAAGGATCAGTGATTTAAGAAAAAAAAATCACAAAACCCCATAAGCTTAGGATTTGAACTCGAGTCTCCTGTCTCCCATACAACATAATTTTCAGAAAGAAAGAAAGAAAGACAGAAAGAAAACAGAAAAAAGCAGGACTCAGCAACTTCCCTCTGAGACAGGGCTTCTTGGTGTAGCCCTTGCTGTGCTAGAACTCACTCTGTAGACCAGGCTGGGTTCATCACAGAGATCCACCTTGCTGGGATTAAAGGCGTGAGCCACCACTGCCCAGCCACTCAGCGATTTTTAAGTTTAGTATTTGTGGGAAGAGGCATCAAGATCCGCCCTGAGATGCCCGAGGGCAGGGTCTGATGTCTCTGATTCTGTGTCTGAGAATGTTTTAAAATGTTTTCTGCTGGGATTTTCAAGACCTAGGTCTATTCTACTTCCCTTTGGGTTAACCTTGTGGAGACCCACCAAATACAGTAACACCTTAAATAAAACCAATGTCATCTTTGAATTGAATCCAGTCTGAGCCTCAAGGACTCTCCCTTCTTGTCACTCAGATCCGCACACAGTGCATCGCCATACACCGGGTCCTTCCTGCACCTCTTTCGTCCTTCCTCCAGGGTGCATGCTTAGTATGTGAGATTTATGACCCAAGCCATGAGCAGAAAACCCTGACAGAAGTTTAGTAATTAGTCATTCAGGCTCAGTATTCTCACGGGTTGTGTGGGAGCAGCCTGGGCTCTGAGCCTGGAAACACCCTTGACATTATACAGTGTGGGAAACAGGCCATGTCTTGGCTGAACACCTTCAGAGCCATGTGACACAAGCCCTATGAGACTTGTTAGCAGAACTTAAGAACGAATCTTATCGAATAAGGCAAGTACAAAGCAGGAATTTGACTCGAGGTAGCCATGCTATTCTCTGATTACTGGAGTTACACACCTAAACACACATTCTCTAAGATTATGTCAGTCTTCTGTGTGATAAATATACAACATAACTGATTTTTAACGTGTTAGAATTATTATTTTTCCTCAAATACTCTGTATAAACATTCCTTTCTGTTTCTCTCTCATTATTTTTTTTCCCTCAAACTTACAATGAAATGTGCTCAGCTATGCCTTCAAACTATCCCATAAGATCTTACCCTCTTCTGGAACCCTTATCTTCTCAGCCTGTGAGTCACACAAGGTGCCTAGTACGTAGTAGATACGGATAAGCATGAACAATGTCAGCCGCAGAAAAAAAGCATGGGACTGCAGATAATCATATTAACTTAATAAATCTCAGAAAACTAATTTCACATTCTTTTTCACTTCTGGCTTCTAGATTTAATATAAGTGTATAAGATCTTATAAACAGAAAACATGACAGTAGAAGCAACTGCCAGATGAACCGAGGACCAGTAGGTGGGGGAGGTGTGAGAAGGGGAGATTGGGAGGATGTGCTCAATATGCACGCAGCGTATGTTTAAGCAAACCAACATTGAATGCGTAGAACTGGACTGGTCCACGGAGGCCTAGCTGTTCACAGCAACCCTCTGGCCCCAACACTGGCAATCCTGCACCAAGCCAACATGGACAGCTGTCAGAAGAGCACAGCAGTTGATCACAGGGACAATACTTGTATAAGCCAGAGACCAGGAAGCTCATGTCTTCACTGACGCCTAGCCATGCAGCCTCCGGCAGGCGATCCATACACAGTGCCTGACCTTGGCTTCTTCCACTGTAAAATCAGAATTTACCTGCCAAGAAATAGGAAGCTAGCCTGGATATTTTATTTTATATTTCTGTTGTGTGTTATGTATACGTATGTGTGCTTTTGTGCATTTGCGTCTGTGTATGCTGGCATATATGAATGTGCATGTGGAGGCCAGAGTTTGATGCCAGGGGCCTTTCTCAATGGCTTTCTAACTCTTGTTTTTGAGGTGGGTTTCTCACTGTTCTGGCGCTGTACCTGCTGACCAGTGAGCATCGTTCTCTGCTTCCCCAGTACAGGAACTGCAGGTGTGCGCTATCACATCTGACTTTTTGTCTGGGTTCAGATGATCCAAACTCGGGTCCTGATAACCTGTGAAGCAAGCTCTTTACCTACTGAACCATTTCTCTAGGCCACAGATACTTTTTATAAGGTCTCCAAACTATGGTCGATCTTTTTTAGTCATATACAAACAACATTTTGGACAAAACACAACTTAATTTGAAAGTGCTGTGACATACAGGTGTGATAATGGACTGATAATACTCACCAGACTTGAATGAATTAAATAGATTATGCTACAGATTCTTATTATTACTTTGAACACTCTTACTTACTTGATGAAGAACATCCAAGACTTTCTTACCTTTGGACTTCCGGTCATGGTATGATCTGCCCCTGTAATGAGGGGTGTCCAGATACAAGTTTTCCAGATCATCTTGCCAAGACTCTGGATTGAAGTGCTTAAGCAGATCTTCTACGGTATCGAATTCTGCAATTGTTTTGTCCAAAGCATCAGCAGTGAGCGTAGGGTCCGTTACTGGTGAAGAGTGATGGGACACCCCCTAAGAGTGACATACAGCTCCGTGTACTTAGAAAGGGTTCATTGCTAAAATACAACTATCATATAAACATACTGAAGGAACACAGATAGGAACACAATATATCATTAAAATATTATACCATGGCAATCTGGCACTGAACTGTTATATTAACTCTAATACACAACATAGCATGTGCATTTATGGATGTCAAAGCCAAGAAGATCATACAATGTTCAGTTCATTTGAGCTGAGATAATTTCAAAAGATATAGGCTAAGTGGAATATAAAAATTGACATCTGATTTCTTTGTTCCTAGTCCCAGATCATCCATATACTAACTAACAATAGAATTAAACTCTAATCTCCTTTCAAGCAATTTCTGATGACATGATCTGTTCTCTCATGCTGAGCTGTGCCCCATCCCCTTTCCACATTACTTCCCATGGCAGATGCTGTCTGAGCTGAATTTGACTGCACTCTGGAGACATTCTGATTTTATATCTGGCACTTTAACCAACTTATTTACTGTCAACAAGATAATTAGCCCTAAAACTGACTCTCTTAACTTATGAGAGCAAGCTTCACGTGGGAAGCTTATGAAAAGAAAAAAAGTGAAAGAACTGCTCTGGCTTAGCAGCGATCTCAGTTTTCATTAAGAAAGTCTCAGAATATTATTTAAATGATGAACACGGTGCCTTTGAAAGTCTAGAAAGGGATTATGTATTTTGCCAGAAATAAAACATTCTCATGTAGTTTCTAAGCACTTACTCCACTAACCCTTGTACAACTTGAGGTAAATGAGCCATGAGTCAAACATTTCTGTGAAAATTCATGACCCATTAACAGGGAAATAGGAAGAACTCAGCCTCAAATGATCATCTAAACATCTTTAAAGAAACTATCAAACAACTAAGGTCTCCCCATGGGTAAATACCTCCTATCACTAAAGGGAAGTGGAAATTAATGAAAATTTGCCTTCTTAAAACTGAACTGTAGAAGACACATAGTGCAGGCGTCAGAGCTTCCGGCCACCCGCCAATGCTCTTACTGTCCTTCTATTCCCCCCTCTTCAACACTCATGGTTCATAGGTCTGTGAATGACTCACGATCCCTCACTTTCAGAGGACTGTACCTCAGTTGGTGAAACTATGGAGTCTGATGAAATCATCTACCATTGGTGTGACTCAGGAGCAGTTTTCATTTATGCTTTGTAGGAGGATTGGGGGGAATGTGGGAGCTGGGAAGTGTGGGGACAGGAGATAGGTTGGTGACTATGTCCCTTTTTAGACAGCCCTGTCAAAATAAGCAGATATTCTCCTCCTTTCCCACCGTGTGCTCTCATTACCTGTCTGAGGCCACACAGGTACACAAGCAATTGTTTATGTGGTCACTTGGCATTTGTCATGCACGACTGAAGAGGGATTTGTTAATAGTTTGAGGCAAGGTAAAGACACATTCTATACTCACCTTGCTGATGATAAATAAAACTTCAACCAGGTGCAGACATATTGATTTCTTCATCCTTTTTTGTTAAATGTCTTACATTTATTTATTTTATGTATATGAGATGAGTGTTTGTATCGCATACATGTATTAATATGTATCACATACATACATGCCTGGTGACCACAGAGGTCAGAAAAGCTCCAAATGGAGCTATGGTTGTTTGTAAACTACCACAGCGAGTACAGGGAACTGAACCTGGGTCCTCTGCAAGAGCAACTTAACTGTGGAACCATCTCCCTAGCCCCTGTTCCTTCAGTTATTGACAGGTTAGTTCTTTAAATTAGGTTTGTGTGTGTGTGTGTGTGTGTGTGTGTGTGTGTGTGTGTGTGTGTGTGTGTGTGACATAAGCTGAACTCTGATAGAAACACATGATTTTGTCTTCTACAACTCTCTTGATACTCACATGCTTGGGGTATATGACACTTATAAGTCAGACTGTAATTACAAGTCTCCACTCACACTGTATGGATAACTAATTATTCGCTCCATCCCCAGTGGTTCATATTCACCATAAAATTAGCCTTATATCACAATGTGTTTCTAATAACCTACAAGTTAAAATGAGTTGACCAAAGTTATGAGAATGGCAGCATTTAAAAGCTTTGAAATAAAAGTAAGACCGTCCATCAAGCCATTTACACATAAGTAAAAGCTTCCTGCTACAGCTCTGGGAAAAGTGGCTGCAAGAAGCATTCTCAGATGGCTCTCAACGGTGCCTGGAGTGCTGCTGTGTACACAGACAGTTCTCCGAGAACACACTCTTAAGGGACTCTTAGTCCTGGAATGGAGTCGGCGTGAGCTGAGAGGCTAGACTCTCCTCTAACACTGAGCTGGGGAGAAAATTCAAACCGCACATAAAATCAAGACTTGTCCCTCTGTATAAGATCCGTGGGTGTTTTCCAGGTTTCATTTAGGGAACTGACAGACACAGGATGATAATTAAGAATGCATTAATAAACCTACAAGAATATTTGCTTCTGACGTGAATATTTAAAAACTTTTGAGAGAGCCACTTACATGTATCTCCTTCAGCTGCACCATGCACTTGGTTGCATTGAGCTTCTGTTACATATTTATAAAGATAAATTAGAATGTTAATTTAAAATGTTAATTGAATGAAAATCACCACAAAAGCATGCATACTGTATAGAAAACAACCTCTGAACTAATTTTAACAAAACAAAATATGGTTGACATAAAACTTGATAGTTGGTCTGGTGATGCCTCACACTGCTCTAAACAGATCTAAAAAGCACGAACAGTTTTCACAGAGGAAGGGTGGCAGCGAAGCGGGAGGGTGGAAGAGAGCAGCGGGGCGAATGAGAGCAAAATGCACAGCGTCTATATAATATGTATCCCCGAAACTCTTTCTCGCTGTATACTAACGAAAACTAATTGAAACAACAAACAGAATATTTGGTTCTTTTGCTCTTCCAATAGGGTTAAAGCCTCAGATCTTAAACCAGAAGTTTCCAGTAAATATTGACCAGGGCTGAACTTTGCCAAATATTCCAAAGGGATAAGCCAGTCTTCCCCCTGTTTAAAAGCCTGGATTCTGCTTAATTAGGTAAAGGCCATGTAAACTGTTTGGCTCTGCACTTAGAGCAGGAATAATCAGACCACCCCGAACCACCATGACGGAAAAGAAGCCGGAGAGTCCCTCAGCCCTCAGCCCTGTCTTCAAAGGCCACTGCTGTGTACTCAGGGTCATCAGCCATAGGCGGATAAGTGCCCTAAGGAATGTCTCTGTGGTGCCTGCCTCGTTTTGATGTCCTCCACCTGACAGAGTCACCTCCACTGAGCTAAGCACAGTGAGACTCAGAACGTCACCACCAGACCCTCAGTACTCTGTGCCTGCCTAGTCCCTAATGCACTATTTGTTTTAACTTTTTGATAATTTCATACATGTATGGGATGTGGTATCACTGAGCTTCTATTATATATTTATGAGGATAAATTACAATGTTAATTGAACTAAAGTTACCTGAATTTTAATTCCTTCCTCATCCTTTCTCTTCTAACTCCTTCCCTGTTTCCTCAGCACTTTTCCTCCCAATTAACAAAACCGGAACGCCCATTGAGTCCCCTTGGTGCCGCTGTGTATTCTCAGGTGTAGGACAAGCCACTCTGTGGGCAGCCACTCAGGGGCCATGGTCCTCAAGAGAACCGACTTCCCACTCTCCTGAAGCCACCGATCGCTCCTCAGCTAGGGAGAGACTCCACGAGCCTCTCCACCCACAAGGGATTTTGTGTGGTTTGACCGTGTGCAGGTCTTGTGCACGCAATCACAGCTGCTGCTGGCTCATGTTTGCAACCGCCTTGCCATGTCTGGAAAACACTCACTACCTCTGGCTTTTACAGTGCTTGTACTTCCTCTTCTTCAATGATCCCTGAGCCCTGGAGGCAGAGAGTGTGTGTACAAATTGATCAACCTCATTGGGAGATTCCAAAAGACACAGAATGCAGACTTATTGAAACTTCGCTATAGAGGGAATTAAACACACTGCTTCAGTAAGAAAAAATAGCATTGGCTTAAAAACAGCAACACTGACTCAGCCACATAACCCATGTTAGACCTACAGACACTCGCTCCCCATGCTTAGGCCTGGCTGAGAAGAGCCTGGCTTTATTATCTTGTATTTTGTTACTGCAAAAGTTCTACATGCAGGATTGATGAAGGCAAGATCTGTTCTTCCCATACAAAGCAGATAAAGAGACAGGATCCTGAGAAATGACTAAATTTGGAGGAAACAAAATGAGACAAGAACTGTTTTACAGCGCAGGGTAAGATGTGCTATGTCCCACCCGAAGCACTGTGCACGGCTAATTTTCACTTAAGTCTTACTGTAAACACCGAGATTTTCCCAGCCTGAAAAGACCCTTGAAAATGCAAACACTAAAGAGCAGTCAACAGGGATGTTCCTGAAAGACACAGAGGAGCCCACACTGCCTGAGGTCTGGCTCGCAGTCAAGCCCGAGTTCTTAGTGCAGTTGAGTCCCTCGGAGGCTGACCTGATATCTTCCAGCAGTTCACTGGCAGCAGATAATAAATTACTCACAGAGACAGAGCTTGTGACTGATTCCCAGTTGGTCTCTGAGGCTGCTTTAGGTTGGAAATCTTCCTGGAAGGTAAAGACACATCCATGAGTAGTAAGTCCCAATCTGTTCAATTCACAACACCCATGGTTGCAGCATCTCAGCCTTCTGAACCTCATTCCGACTAAGTGAAAACATGAACAGGAATCCACTATTAACAAGCAGATCACCGTTTCTATGAAGCATCTGTCCACAAGAACCCCTCACATTCCAAACGTGGACACCTGTGCTCACATTGTCATATAAATATGGGAGAAATAGAAAATGTACAGACAGAAGTTCAAATTCAACTTGGCCGTCTATTGGTGTGTGACCTCAAATGACCTTCTCAGCCTCTAATTCTTCTCTTCTCCATCTGTAATGGGCTATGGTGTTTAAATTGCAAAGCTGTTTCAGGAATTGAATGTAGTAATTATGTAGTTATAACTGTCATTTAATAAGAGCTTAATCCAGAGAAAGAATAATTCTTGTCATTCTTGATGTCCATTTGGTTTAAGCTAGGTTCTAAATCACGTTCAATTCCACCTGCTAAGTCAGTCCTCAACAGCAATGATCTTTTCAAAGATTAACCTCTAAAGGCTGTCCCAGACTCCATTAACAAATGTCAGAACGAATGGCAGGGGGAAGACCGTGACTGGGGGTCTGACAGCAGGCAGACAACAGAGTTATCTCCAACAACAGCAAGAGGATCTGTGGTAGCTACTGCCCTCACAGGAAGAATTCTCCCAAAGGCAAACTTATCTTCCATCTTCATGCTACTTTCACATTAATTACTCCAGCACTAGTAAATCACACACACACACACACACACACACACACACACACACACACACACAGAAGGAGATCTGAGTCTACTATTTCTACATGTCACCAGAAGCTTCTTGCTTTAGCTAAAATTAGTCATCCTGGTAATTTCTTCCAGACTGAGTTGAGTTTGAGGCATTTTCTGATGATATTAAGGCATATTCAGTGACTCAAACCTGAAAGCTTATTTGCTTAAGTATGCTTACTGAATCAGAGCTGAGAATCAGTTCTAAATTTCATTTGTACCATGGAGGTCAGAAAGTGCATCTTTTGAGTGGTCATGATGACATTAATTTCTGTATGAATGTTGACATTGAAGGAATGTCAGCTGTTCACCTAGAGAGAACTGGATCGAATATGAGGTAGGGGAAGGCAACTGGCCATTGACCATTATTTTAATCCAACCTCAGTGCATAAAACGAAAGAAACAGCAAATGTGTGAGATGTGGACACAGGGAACAGAAAGGACCTATGGTAGAAAGATGCATCCAAATAAGGGAAGACTGTGGCTTACAGGAGCCTCTTGGAAGCAGACGAACAGACGGCCCCAGGAGAGAGGCAGGGTTCTGTGGGAGATCACACTGCCGGGTGTGTGAGTGTGCTTTCATTCATACCCACATACTCCAAACTGTCCTTAACAGAGAAACAAGAATTCTTTAGTTCAAAGTTTTGGAAGTCCCCAAAGTCTGAAACTGGGCAGCCGTGTTTATTAGGCCTCAGGCAAGGGCCTAAGGGCAGATGACAAGACTGTGACAGCCTGTGTGAGAGGGAGAGAGCACTCTTGAAACAGGAAGTTCAGAGGCTGGAGAACTACATTAATTAATCCCAGGTGACCTAAGGAAATCACATGAGACTCCAACTTTTAAAGTTTTAACTACACATTGTCACCAGGAAAACAAGCTGCCCAGCACATGAACTCCTGGGGCTCACACTCCACCTATACCCAAACCACAGCACCAGGCAAGGTAATGCCACGAGCAATTTGTAGATCCTACAGTTTTCCTTCCACTTGTTCATGGAACATTTGTTAATTACCCACTACATCAGAGTGTAGTCTCTTGAGGTTGATAAGTGAGTAAGACACCACTTCTTCTCCCAAGGACCTTGAAATTATTAAAGTCATCTGAGTTCTCTGATATCACTCTGCTCAGATAACATGGAAGGTGGCAGACAACTGCACCTGAAGAGGAGGTGGGGTGAGAAGATTTTCCTGCCAAAAGACCTGGAATCTTGCATGGTAAGCAGGTTAGTTCCTAGAGAAGGCTAAGGAATTGAGCATGGTGTCTGAGGTACGTATACAACATGCAGGATAGAGCAGTCAGAGGGAGCTTCCTGTGGACAGTGGCTCTCACCACAGACTTAAACTTGAGACAGATTTGGGAGCTCTCCACACATCGAAGACAACAAAATCAAGTGATGGATTGGGAGAACAACAGAAAATCCAGAATGGCTCTTTTCAAATTTCAGAACTAGAAACAGTTTTAGGATTTTCTAGCACAATTTCCTCATTGTTAACAATTTATAAACAATAAATGTGTTACTTACATATAATCTCAGGGAGACATGTAGACCCCTTTGGGTGAAGCTAGAGCCATCAGTGGGAGCTGTGGAGTGCTCCTTCCTGTCACCATAGCTGGCTTAGAGAATGTGTGGGGCAGAAAAGACGGAGCTATGCCTACACTGCAGGCAATACAGGAGCAGAAAGAAAAGCAGTGTGTAGGTCTGGGAGGTCTTCCTGCCAGAGGATGGCAATGCCTAATGGATTCCATGATTCCAATTTATTTTCTCGTATAGATGCACAGGTATTTTGTTGGGTAGAGAGATGGCTCAGTGGGTAAATCACCTGTCATACACACGTGGGGGTCTGGGTTTGAATCCCTAGAACTCATGGAATACCAGGTATGATGATGTGCATCCACAATGACAGTGCTCCTGTGGAGAGATGGGAGGAGGAGGCAGCAGAGTCCCATCGAAGCTCAAGGACCAGTAGCCTGGCATCAATCCCTGAGTAAGAGACTGTCTCCAACAGGCTGGAATGTGAAGACTGACTACCGAGGTTGTCCTCGGATCCCACATATTCACAGCAGCACTTGGTCAACTAAACTCACACACACACACTCACACACACACACACACACACACACACACACACACACACACACACACACACAGAGAGAGAGAGAGAGAGAGAGAGAGAGAATATGTATGAGGCCTTTTCAAAGTATAAAAGGGCTTTCATGTGTAAGTACCTAGACAAATGTTACACAGTGAATTTTAAGTTTATTCTCTGTGTGAATTACAGAATTCCAGTCAGAAACTGTAATAGGAACAAATGATAAAATAATTCATTACATTCCAGATAAAATACAACTTCATCTTCTGTTAGTCATACAAATATGAGACATTTAAGAAAAGCCAGGTTCTATGTTAAGCTTGCCATAATTTATAAGTGACATATTTAACATGAATTTATGAAAGGGAACAGCATTCTTTAAGAGAATAAGACACTGAGCCTCCCAAGTTTTAGATCTGAAAGAAGAATCTTGGCCTTGAGGAGTGGGGATGGATACAATTTCTAAATACATCCTGTGTGATCACTGTTCATCTCCTCCACTAAAGCACCACATCAAGTCCAAGATCCTAGCAAGCCTCTGGATGCCTGACAGGACTGCTTGAATATTCCTGTTCTGGTGGCAGCCAGCAGGGTGCTGGAATTGCAAACCACTGCAGGCCTCTGCTCAAGCTGTTCAGTGACTGCTTTCCATGTGGGAAGTCCCTGGGTCTCCTGTCTGTGAGACCTCATTGCTGTGTCCTTCTGTCTGACTTAGGGTTCTGCTTTTCTCACCGACTCCATTATGTCAACAATGGCCTGGCCTTCTTAGGGTCCTCAGATAGCATCCAGCTTCCTTTCCCTTGATCAGATGCTGTTTTCTCTGTCTGAAAACAACTCCTTCAAATGTTTCTGTAGCTGGCTCCTCAGCAGTTAGTTAGCTGCTGAAATACCAGATCTTTAGATAGAGTCCGTGGGCTCCTTAAACACATCCTCACTCCAGGTCACTTGTGGTTTGCCCTCTTAACCCATTCATTGATGTTGTTAGAGATGTCTGGAATGATTAATCTCCCATTTCTTTGCTGATGACTTCATTAGCTAGAATGGCAGAGACCATAGTCTTTATTTTCTACTCAACCTCAAGTGCTTAGGTGTGCTTTCAGGATAAATTTCTCCTAACTCCTAGTATCCTTAGGAGTGAGCAGCAGAAAGAGGCAGCATTCACCTTGACTGGTAGGTCCCTGTATTCTATGATTTAAATATCACCATGACTAGTTGATGGCTCCTTTTCACGAGTGCTCTTAGCAGAACAGTGCCCGCACTGTCCCTTGAAGTGAGGCTGAAATAGAACAGTGAGTGATCATTGGAGATGTGTCAAGACATCAGTGTCTAAGAACACATTTCTGGTCTTTGTTAAAACACACTCATACAAACACTCTAACAGCTGTGTCCCATCCCAGGCAGAGATAATGATTTCCTAACTCCAGAGATCTGGTGTATATTCCGATCTCAGTTTCTTCTGCTCTGAGCTGCAGTATCCACCAAAGAATGGAGGAAGCCCATGGCTTGGCTATTTTGTTCCCCCAGTCTGTACAGGGGATTGCCACACTTTAGTATGATGAGGAGCTTACTGTACCTTAGAGACATCATAGACATCCACCTTATAGGAGGAAATGACTTGTGTAGAGATAAAAAATTTGAGCTCCGAGAGCTGAATGAGTCACCCAGCATACCTCCACATCAAGTACAGAGTTAGCTCTCAAATAGCTACTTTGTCTCGATTGTGACCTGTTCTTTACAGCTCAAATAATATTATAAATCATTCTACAACCACAGGCATTGCAACCTACATTGCTTTCATATAAGAATATATCATTTAGTATGGTATTTTTCTTAGCTCACATCCTCGTGTATAAAAGTTCACAGTTACATTTTGGCAGTAAAGCTTATTGTTTGGTAGGTGCCCTCATTTCCTGCCTCTCACTCTTCAGGTTAGGTTACAAAGCAGACATGAGTCTCTGATACTCAGTTTTAAACAGCACAGGAAACAGAGTTTGATTTACATGGGGAAAGAATTGTTGTGGTGATACATAGAACTGAAATCTCAAAGCATTACATGAAAACACAGATAAGCATTTTATATCTGTGCAGTAAGGAAGCAATATTTCTTTT